GGATGGGGCTGATTTGGGATGAGGCTGATTTGGGACGGGGCTGATTTGAGAGAAGACCAGTTCAGGATGGGGCTGATTTGGGATGGGACCAGTTGATTTGGGATGAGGTTGATTTAGGATGGGGCTGATTTGGGATGGGACCAGCTTGGGATGGGGCTGATTTGGGATGGGGTTGACTTGGGAGGGGACCAGTTGATTTGGGACAGGTCTGGTTTGGGATGGGGTTGATTTTGGATGAGGCTGAGTTTGGATGGGGCGGAGTTTGGGCAATGCTGAAAGTTTGGGATGGGACCAGTTGATTTGGGATGAGGTTGATTTAGGATGGGGCTGATTTGGGATGGGACCAGCTTGGGATGGGGCTGATTTGGGATGGGGTTGACTTGGGAGGGGACCAGTTGATTTGGGACAGGGCTGGTTTGGGATAAAACCAGTTTGGGATGGGGTTGATTTGGGATGAGGCTGATTTGGGAGGAGATCAGTTTGGAATGGGGCTGATTTGGAATGGGGATGATTTGGGATGAGGCTGATTTGGGATGGGACCAGTTGATTTGGGGTGAGGCTGATTTGGGATGGGGCTGATTTGGGAGGAGATCAGTTTGGGATGGGACCAGTTGATTTGGGATGGGACCAGGTTGGGACGAGGCTGATTTGGGATGAGGCTGATTTGGGACCAGGCTGATTTTTGATGTGGCTGATTTGGGAGGGGACCAGTTTGGGATGAGACTGATCTGGGAGGACATCAGTTTGGGATGGAGTTGTTTTGGGATGGGGCTGATTTGGGTCTGGGACAAGGCTGCTCAGTGGTGGGCCCAGTCTGGGAGGCTGGTGGCCGGTGCAGCACCACCAGCTGTGGACCCCAGCAGATCTCTCACCGGCCCATCGAAGTTGTGGCTGAAGTAGTTGACAGCTCCCTTCTTCTCCAGCAGGTAGAAACGGATCCAGTTGTGAAATCCTGACACTTTCCCTTTCTTCACCTCCCCTGGACACGAGGGAGACCCTGGGCTGAGCTCTGGCCCTGCCCAGCACCCCCAGTCCCAGCGGGGTGGGCTCTACCTGAGAAGACGTGCTCGAAGCCACTGGAGTCCTGCTCTCCATCACCTCGGGAGTAGAGGCCAAACCACATCTCCTTCAAATCAGCCACAAACTCCTGCTGGGAGCCGTAGCGGTCTGTGGGGAGGTGGGACCAGGGCTGGGGGCACTGGGAGAGGCAGAGCTGGGTCCTCTCTCCCTCAAGAAGAAGTCATCTTCCCCTAGAAGCTCTGCAGAGCCCATTTCTTCTCCGCTCTACGTCCTCCCAGGTCACCTCCCACCCAGCTAGGACTTGTCTTTTGGGTGCCCACCATCCCGGGACCCTCTTCTCTGGGGTCAACCCCACCCTGCTCCACACTCAACTTTTTTTGTGGAGGAAAGCCAAGAGTTTCTTCATGAGCTCTGTCTTCATCACCTCCTTGAGGAAGTTGTCCTGCTCCCTCAGCTCCTCCGTTGTCACATCCTCCTCCCTCCCAGTCGCCCTCTGGTAGTTGTCCAGCAGTTTAATGAAGCTGGCATAGGTGGGTTTGGAGAAGAGCTCCTCATTGACATATTTGTAGAGCCTAGGAGAGAATGGATCCTCCAAACCCAGCCCTGCACCTCGCTTGGGTGGCCGGTGGATGCCGTGGTGGCCCTTGGCCACTGGTCAACCCCCAAGGATGCCACTCACGGCTGTGGGGAGTGGTCCTCCTGGTCGCCCGTCTCCTGGGGGGTGGCCTGGTGCTGGGGGTTGAGGGTGATGTCAGTGGGATGGGCTTTGTTGTGATCTGCCTGGTAAAGCTGCTCCGAGAGGTCCAGGAGGTCCTCGTCGGTGATGGCGTCTCGGCTGCTGGAGAAACCATCTGCAGGGAGGGGCAGGAGGGTGGCAAGAGTGGGCAGCAGCTCCTGGGGACGTGTGGGAGCTCCCCAGGGAGAGGTGTGGGTGATGGAGCACCAGGTGGTGCATTGACACGTGGGTGTCACCATCCCTGGGACACCCAAGAGCTGGGTGCTCGGCGTGGAGGGTCAACGTCACCCAAGGGGTGGCCCTGGGGGCAAGAGCTGGCACAGGAACCTTTCCTTCAGCACTGGGTGGGTTGGGGAGCATCAGCCTTGGATGTTTCTCTTTGCAACATCTGCTGGGATCAGCCCCATCTTGATGTCCCACCCTTTAGGGGAGTCCCCACCCCTGGAGGGGTCCCCAAGCTGTGGAGATGTGGGGTGAGGGACACAGGTTGGGGGGACCTGGTTGTGCTAGGGGGATGGTTGGACTCCAGGAGCTGGAAGGACCCTTCCAACCCAACCCATGCTACAACTCAATGATACCCTGATGCCACCAACCCCCAGGAGCTGCCCCGAGGTACATGGGGTGGAACCAGGGTGGTGCTTGGAAGTGAAGCTACTCACCACGGCTGCGAGCTGCCTCCTCGGCCCCTTCTCCACCTGCAGGGACCCAAAAGGAGAAGGAGCTCAAGAGGATGTCAACGTGGGGCTGGGGGATGCCCAGGACCAAACCAAAACCACTGAGCAGTGGTTGAACCTCCTGAGGCTCAACCAGGCCAAGGGCAAGGTCCTGTTTGCCACTTCAGCCAAGGGTTTGGGCAACGGAGATGTTCCACCACCCCGTGGGGCTGCTCACCTTGGAGGCAGTGCTTGTGGTAGTCCTGGCAGCAGCTGTGGGACCTCTGGCACCCGGGGTGGCAGTGGCACTCGTCCTCCTCGTTGTAGGGCTCCTGGCAGCGGCCCTGGCAGGAGTCAGGGGCCGTGTACAGGTCTTGGGAGGGGAGAGAAACACCAACGTTGGGTTCCTCTCCTCCACAGAACCACCACCCACCCCATCCTTCTGCCCACCCTCCCCTCCTGGGAGGGCCTGGAGGATCTGGATCCCACCCTGGAGCTCCTTGGGGGTGCTTGGTCAACGGTGAGGATGCTCATCTCCACGGGTCACTCCTCTCAGGCCATGGGTGTCCACCACGTGAAGGCCACTTCACACCAGGAAAGGAGTTTTCTTGGCGTCCCACCATTAATTGCTCCTCCTGATTCACCCAGGATTAATGGCAGGACTGGAAGTGCCCCAGGTCCCACCAGCTGGAGGAGGAGGAGGAGGAGGAGGAGGAGGAGAGCCACATTCCAGACACCCTGATTTGCAACCCAACCGTGGCTCTTTCTGACACTGGGTGAGCTGGGAGCTCCTTCCCGAGCTGTTGAGATGATGGAGGGGTTGTTGAGCTGTGGCCAAGGACCCAGCTGGTGGGGCTGAGGGCCACGTCTCAGATGGACACTGGTCATCAAGCAACAAGAAGGGCTGTAGGAGACCAAGGGTTGGGTTGGTCCTAGGAGATACCCTAAGAGATGCTTCAGGAAGGTGCCTTGTCCTCTGGGTGCTCCTCAGCTCCTGGCCAGGAAGGTGGCCACCTCCAGGGATGTGTTGAGAAGCCACAACCCAACCAAGCAAAGGGATGGCTGGAGGGGAGGGTGGTGCCTTCTCCTGCCAACCTGCCATCACCCAGCATCCCAAACCCCTCTGGGTTTGGTGGCTTTGAAGGGGCCCTCAGGGCAGATCCTGACACGGCGGCCATCAGAGGGACCTCCAAGTGCCATCGAGTCACAGAGGGGTTGGAAGGGACCTCTGGAAATAATCCTAGAACATTTGGGTTGGAAGGGGCCTCCAAAGGTCATCTAGTCCAACCCTCTGCTATAACCAGGGTCATCTCCAACGTGGACAATCAGTTTGAGGAAGGAATTGTTCCTCAGATCACCCCGTTCAACCCCCTGCTGAAGCTCATCTAGAGCAGCTCCACCAGGATGGCACCCAGGCAAAAAAAAAAGGACCTAGGTTGGGGTTTTTTTTAGGTCTGGCACTTCACCCAAATTATTTGTGCTCTTCAGCATCACCTAATGAAGGTCCCACAAGTGCTGGTGAGAGAGGAAGGACCTCTTCACCCCACCAAGCCAGCCCAGGCCACTCTGGCTGCCCAAGGAGAGCCCTGTTTGGCTTCTCACCACAAGGTCATCTCCTGCCAATCCACTTTGGAGCAAGAGAGGAGTTAGTAGGAAGGAGTTTCTTGAGGTGCTCCTGGAGGTGACACCCCCTTGGTGGTCCTTCAGTCCCACTTTTGCTTCTGCTGACGTAGGGAGAACTGGGAAGCCCATGGTTTGGGTGGTGAGTGATGCTCGTGGTCCAGACTCCCCCATCTCAGCAGCTTTCCAGCAGCTCTGGAGCTCTGATGGGTCCCCAGGGTGACGTCCCCTCATTCCCAAAGCAGTGGTGGGGCTCACTCAGCCTGAATGACACATCCTGGGCCCCTTCTCCAGCAGGAAACCAGGAGGGATTGTGCAAGGCAGGAACTGCTCACACACAACTCACCCCTGAGATGTTCCTGGGCCTGGGGCATGTGCCACCAGAGCGTGTTGGGGCAGGACACCCATTCCAGGACCTGTGGTGACTCAGGGGAGGTGGGGAGCGTGGCAGAGTCCTTGGAGTCCCCTCTGTTTCTCATAGGACTCATGATGGTGAAGTTCAGAGGGATTTTTGGGGGGTTGGAGGGCTGCTGGGAGACCTGGCAAGGCTGTGGCCAAGGGATGGTGGCCAGAGAAGAAGGACGTGGCCAGCAGTGGTCAGCTCAACCAGCCACACTCAACTTCTCAGTTGTTATTTGAGGGCTGGGAGCCCAGCAGGAGAGATTTGAGGTTCTTCAGCCTGGAGAGGAGAAGGCTCCAGCTGGGGAGACCTTCTGGTGGCCTTGCAGACCTTCCAGGGGCTTGGCAGAAAGCTGGGGGAGAACTTTGGAGCTGGGTCTGTTGGGACAGGACAAGGGGGGATGGTTTGGAACTCAAAGAGGGAGATTGAGACTGGAGAGAAGGGAGAAATTTTGGACTCTGAGGGTGCTGAGCCCCTGGCTCAGGTTGCCCCAAGAGGTGGTCGCTGCCCCATCCCTGGGACCATCCCAGGGGAGGTTGGATGGGGCTCTGAGACCACTGCTCTAGCTGGAGATGTCCCTGTTGACTGCAAGGGGGTTGGCCTTGACCTTGGCAGGTCCCTTCCCACCCAACCCACTCCATAGCTGCACAAAGCCAAAGATTTCCTTCTCATTTTCAGCATCTCCATCCACCACGGTGTGGAGAACTGTCCATGACCCGATGGAGCCTTCTCAGTGCCTCCCAGTTTGGTTTGTCCACGGGGACAAGTCCCAGCTCATGCCAGGGCAGCGCCAACGAGTCCTTGGCTTGACTCAAGACCTCTCTGAGCTGTGCAGACAGGACACGGTGGAGGTCTCACCACTCAGACAGGTCCATCAGGGGGATGTTCTGGAGGCTCTGGTCCAAAAAATGTGCCCAGGATGGACCAGGCATGGGAAATCCAGTCATAACTTGGGGCTTGGGTTGAGCAAGAGGAGCCCATGGCAGATCCTTCTGCTGTCAGGGCAGCCCAGTGGTGGATTTGGAGCAGCAGAAGCTTCTCTTCCACCTTGACCTAGCAAAACTCCTCATCGTAGCTCCCCAGAGGAGTTGTTGGCTGCTGAAACACCAGATGGAGCCTGTTGGCAGCCCCAAGAGTGATGTAACCCCCTTCTCACGGGTCAAATTTTGGGTAAGGAGGTGGCCGTGGAGGCACCTAGTCACACACAGCATCCTGGTCAACCAGGAGCCACAGCCTGCTGCCCACAAGCCACTCCTGGTTGCAACACCCTGCCTGAGGAGCCAGGGGAAGGTGGCTTTGCACCACGAAAGCACACCAAGAAACAACCAGTGGACAAAACTCAACGCCACGAGAAGTCTCAACCCAACCAACGAGAAGGATAAAACCACCCTCACCACCAGCTGAGTCCCCCCACAAGCTGGAGGAAGCTCTGAGCATGAAAACATCCCTCAACTCGCCCCCTCTGAAGCTCTGAGGGGTCCAACCCTGAGAGGAACCAGCTGCCCCAGCACAGCCCAGCTCCTGGCTTGTGGCACTGTTGGGTTTCAAGGCCCTGTTGGCCCTCAAGGCCCTGTTGGCCTTCAAGGAACCGTTGGGTTTCAAGGAACCGTTGGGTTTCAAGGCACTGTTGGGGTTTCAAGACACCGTTGGGGTTTCAAGACACCCTTGGCCTTCAAAGCACCATTGGCCTTCAAGGAACCCTTGGATTTCAAGGCACCGTTGGGTTTCAAGACACCCTTGGCCTTCAAAGCACCATTGGCCTTCAAGGAACCATTGGGTTTCAAGGCACCATTGGGTTTCAAGACACCCTTGGCCTTCAAAGCACCGTTGACCCCTTCCCATTGGATGCTCCAGCTGGTAGAGCCCCCCTGCCCAAGCCCAGCTCCATTACTCACTGCCAGCCACGCAGCCCAGGGCTATCCCTGCCCCCAGAAGAAGGATCCAGCTCTTCATGGTCCCGTCGAGGGGAGGTCGGGCAGCTTCAGAGCGTCTTGGAGAGCAGCTGGGGAAGGAAGGTGCTCCCTGGAGCAACCTGGAGCTTTGTGTGGGTCTCCTGGGAGCAGGGAGAGGAGAGGGAGGAGCACCGAGGACTTCCCCGGGCAGGCTGCACCCAAACTTTGCCAAGAGTCATTATGTGCAGGGCTTTAATTAGAGGGTGCCTGGACTGGGAGGAGGGCTGGTAAATCCAGTCTCCCAGTATTGCTCCACTCCTCACGTGCACGAGCCCCAGGGCTGGCTGAGGAACACGAGGAGAGCTCCTCAGAGGGTCCATCCACGCCCAGAGCCCAGCAGGTCCATCAGAGATGTCAACTGGTGGTCGCTGCTACACCCCCCTGTGAGACTGGTGTGAACTGGGAGGGATCTTCTGCTCCCCAGTTAGCTGGAGGTAAGGATCTCTCCTTCCTCTGCTGCTGTCTCTGCAGGAGGTGTCCTCCCCAGAGCACAGACCACCCTTGGGTGAAGCCCTTAGGTTCAGGAGAAAGCCCCTGAGATAGCTCCAAGGGTGGAGGCTGCTCAGGGGAGTGGGTTTTGTGGGTCGTCCCAGCGTGGGCTCACTCCTGGGGCAAGCCCAGAGCTGGTCCATCTCCACCTTACGTGGGGCTGCCCTTCTCCAAGGAGCCTCCACGGCCTCGGGAGCTCAACCCCTGGTTGGTGTGGGCACCACTGTGGGCACCAGCATCTCCCCTGCCCACAGCAGGGCCAGCACAGCGCATCCCAGTGGGAGATGCTCCCAAATGTTGGGTATTCTGGTGTTCCTGGCAGGAGAAACATCTTCCCATGCGACCACAGCTCAGGGAGGGGGACCTTGAACACCATCAGGTGACCAACAGCTCGTGTTGGTGCTGCAACCAAGGGTCCATCCCAGGCACCAGCTGGTTTCTGCTTTCTCCTCTAGCTGGTTTCTGAGGAAGCCTCATCACGAGCCTTGGATGGGCCAGTAGAGGCTGGTCCCTTGTGGTCCAGGTCCTTCTGGTTTGGTTTGGTGGCTCCTCCTGCCTGGAGCTCCTCCTGCCTGGAGCTCCTCCTGCCTGGAGCTCCACTCCTCCTGCTGACCCAGCAGCCTTGTGACAGCCTGAGCTCCCCCCAGGGTGCATTAGCTGGCACCGTTTGGTGTGACAAGGACCAGGTTTGGCTTCTTTGTCACCCCTCTGTCACTTCCTACCTCCCACCCTGGGCTGGTGGCCCTGCTGACCTGTCCTCTGCCAAGAGCAGGTTTGTTTTCTCCGTGCCACGCCGTGCTGAGGGTGCTGATGGACGAGTGCATCACCCAACCCACTCACCAACCAACCTTCTCTCCACTCCAGGCTGTGCCTGGAGCCCTGCTGGAGGTGAGGAGCTCCCATCAGAAGGGGTTGAACCTTGGCTGGATGGTTGCAGCCATCGTGCATCTGCCTTGCTCCTCTGAGAGGCCCAGGAGGGGCAGGAGAAGCAGCCCCTGGGGGTGGGAGGAGTCCTGTAGAGTTGGGTGCCCACCACGAAGGAGGATGGAGGTGGAATCCATGTCTTCTTGCTTCTCCAGCCTCACCATGGAGGGTGATGCCTTTTGTCTTGGGTTTAACTAGGAGTGTCACCTGCACCAGGGGACAGAGTGGGTGTCCCCATGCCTCAGTCACACCTCCCAGGAGCTGGTGGCCAGCTGGGACCACTCCCCACTTGCCATCCTCCCAGACCCCCGTGAGCCACCACGTCTTGTTGCCACCTCCAGAGGTGCTGGGCCTGCAGGAGCTCCTGGGGACCCCCTGCCTCTGCTCGCCCAGCCTCAGGGGTCACAGCCCCGGGGACAAGAGGAGGTGGGTGTGACCCTCGGTGGTGACAGGACGGCGTCCCCAGCTGCCACCAAACCCTGTCACCCTCTCCAGGAGGGGTGTTGCAGGAGGGTGGTGAGTCAAGAGGCCCCTGGGGCTGGTTCCAGCTTTGTTTTCCCAGGAGAAAACCCAAACCCTGTCACCTTGTCCCAACCTCTTGGTTTTGCCCAGATTTCTCTAAGTGGGGCTGTAGGACACCGAGCTTCATCCCCATCTCCTCCTGCCAACCTCCTCTGCATCCCTCAGGTCTCCCTGTCCTTTTCCTGAACATTCCTCCAGGTTTTCTCCAACCCTAGTTCAACCACGGCACGTGGAGGGTCCTCAGGACCAGGACAGGTGAGGGGTGACCTGCTGGGAGCAGCTCTGTGGACAAGGAGCTGGGAGTCCTGGTGGGCAACGAGTTACCCATGAGCCAGCAATGGACTTTTATGGCCAAGGAGGCCAATGGTCTCCTGGGGGCATGGAGAAGAGTGTGGGCAGCAGGGCCAGGGAGGTTCTGCCCCAGGGAGGTCACCTCGGGAGCACTGGGACCAGTTCCCCCAGTTCAAGAGAGACCAGGAGCTACTGGAGAGAGTCCAGCAGAGGCTCTGAAGGTGCTGAGGGGCTGGAGCATCTCTGTGCCAGGCCAGGCTGAGAGCCCTGGGGCTGCGCAGCTGCAGAAGAGACGCCTCCGAGGGGATCTGTGGGGCCAGACTCTGGTCAGTGGTGCCCAGCAAGAGGCCAAGGGGCATCAAGGGGCTTCTTCAGCTCTGTGGGCATTTCAGGTAGGGCTGGAGAAGGTTCTGAGGGAGCCCACAGCTTGTGGAGGACACATCCTTGTGGGCTGTGGACTTCTCCTCAACGGGAAGCTCTTCACAACCTGCACCACCCAAACGAGTTGTCTGGGAGCCCCACCAGGAGGAAGGGGCATCATCCAACCTGGCACCCCCAGCACAGGCAGCGTGGGGGGCAGCCAGGGCTCCTTCCTACCCCCCTTGGCTGGTGCAGGGAGCAGATCCAGGGATTTGAGAGAGGGGAGCTCAGCCTGGCATACAAAAATACCTCTATTGCTCACCCCGGGGG